CTCTGGGTGGGGCTCAGTGCTCCTTCTCTTCCCTGCAGAAAACAGGGAAAGCCCTGCTGGCCCTCAACAGGCTGACCCTGCTGTCCCAGAGCCTGGAGAGGAAGGTGTCAGAGGCTCAGGATGAGGAAGGTGATGGCCCCAAAACACCCATCAACCCTTCTCTCTGCTCTGCCATCCCCACCTTGGGCTCCCGGGCAGCTTCTGCCTCTTTTTGCTCCAACCTGCCCTGGTGCCACTAAACACCCAGGCATGTCCCCACAGTGCCATTTCTGCTCCATGACCCAAGGTTCCCTCCATCCTCATCCCTCTGGTGCAGCCTTGGAGTGGGTGGATCCCACTCTGGGTGTGACCCAGATCTCTTGGGATCCAGAGCTGATCCCTCCAGCACAGGAGGGAGGTGATGACTCCTCACCATTCCCTCTGCCCCTCTCCCACAGGCCAGGGCTGCAGCCCAGAAGAGGAAGAACCTTCCAGGGCTCTGCCCACACGGGGTCCTGGTTCCTCAGAGCTGCTGCCAGAGCAAGAGGAGGAGGATGGTGGGAGCACTGCAGCCCCAGGGGAGACAGAGCAGTGACAGTGAGGCTGTGTCACCCACCTCCTGGAGCACCTAGAGCAGCTGAGGAGAGAGGAGCAGGGGGGTGGTACCCCCTCCAGCAGCTCACAAGGTGACCCCTCCAGCCTGCCGTGGATCCAGACCCCAGACCCCCTCTCCTGTGGTGAGCTCTGGGGTCCCACAGTGTCCCTGTGTTGGTGTGGGGACAGCTGTCCCTGCTGTCCCTGCAAGGAGCCCATGCTCCTGTCTCTCCATGGCCACCCAGGCTCGAGCTATCACCAATAAAGCACCAAGGATCTCTGTGCTCCCTGTGCTGGTCCTTTTCCCCCCCAAAATCACTGGGAGGGGTGAGAAAGAGCTGCCCAAGCTGTCCCCCCTTTGGGAGCTGGTACTGGGCTCTCCCCACCCTTCTCTTCCCCAGCAGTGATGTTGGCCCTGGGCACAGGGGCTGGGGTGGCTTTGGCAGCAGCCCTGAGTGTCCCTCTCTTGGAAGTCTTCCTTTGTCATCAGGGGGGTTTGGGGTCGTGTCCTGAGCCCACAGGACCAGGATGAGCCCTGGGCCCTTCCAGTCTCTCCATGTCTGGGCCAACTCTGGTACCAGCAGGGCTGGCAGGAGCCCAGGACCTGCTGTGTGAGCTCCATCCTCAGCCTAAGGAGGCAGCTGGGGAAGAGCTGGGTGTGTGGAAGCCCTGGAGAGGAACAACCTGGGCACTGGGCTGACCATGAGCTGTCAGTGGGTCCCTGGTACCAAGGGGGTGAGTGGGGTCCTGGGCTGCAGGATGTACTGCCAGCAGGATTTAGAGGGGATCCTTCCCTAATTTAGCACTGGTGAGGCCACTCCTGGAGGGCTGTGCTGTGTTCTGGGGTCCCAAGTACAACAGAGGCACCTGGGGGAGGGCTCCATGAAGGATGGGGGAGAGACTGGAGCCCCTCATCCATGACGAATGTCTGGGAGAGATGGGAATGCAGCTGGGTGCAGGGAGGATGGAGCCAGGCTCTCCTCAGCAGTGCCCAAAGTCCGTGGGCACCTCCTGAAACACAGGAGGCTCCACCTGAACCTCACAGAACACCTTTTTACTGGTGATGGAGAGCTGGCACAGGGAGCCCAGGGGGCTTGTGTGCTCTCCATCCTTGGAGATATTAAAAAACCTGTCTAGGCCTGGTCCTGGGCAACCTGCTGGGGCAGGGGGAGGGACCAGATACCCTCCAGAGTTTCCTTCCAGCGTCAACCCTTGTGTGATTCTGTGAAAATTGTGTGATTCTGTGGAAGCTGGTGGCCACCATGGCAGGAGGATCCACGGCAGGATTTGCCATTCTTCAGGCTCCAGAGATGGTAGAACAGCCAGAGTGCTGGTGGCCCCTTGGCTGGGGGGCTCCATGGCTCTTCTCTGCTCTTCTCTTGGGATGTGTCACCTCCCTGTCCCCTCGCTGTGGCACTGACCCTCCAGCTGACAGGGCTTTTTTATCAGTGCCCAGGCCTGGCTCAAGTTTTTGTGGCAAAGGGCTGTTCCTGTTAGTGATGTCCATGGCTCTGACCACAGGAAGGACAGAGGGCTGTGGGGTGGCAGATTGTCACAGGCCCTGCCCAGGGCTCGGGGGTCTTGTCTCTTGTTGGAAGCAGGAGATAGAATTTAAGAAGGAATTTAATTTGGAAATTGGTGTGTGGACCTCCTGCTGGAGAAAGAAGAGCCCTTTTGGGACCCTCTGGAGAAAAGGAGGCTCAGAGGGGAACTTCTTGATCTCTCCAACTCCCTGACAGGAGGGTGGAGTGGGGGGGGTTGGGCTCTGCTCCCAGGGAACAAGGGACAGGAGGAGAGGAAAAGGCCTCAAACTGTGGCAGGGGAGGTTTAGTTTGGATATTGGGGAAAATTTCTTCATGGAAAGGGTTGTCCAGCCCTGGCACAGCTGCCCAGGGAAGTGGAATCCCTGTGCCTGGAGGGATTTAAAAGCCCTGTGAATGTGGCACTTGGGGACACGGGTCAGTGGTGGCCTTGACAGTGCTGGGGAAACAGTTGGACTCCGATCCCAGGGGGCTTTTCCGACCTGAATGATTCCATGATTCCTTGCAGGGTCCAACCCTGGCCCTCCAACAGCTGGGTGAGACACCTCCTGACAGAACTCACCTGCTTCCTCTCCCTCCCCTGTTTCCAGCAGGAGCTGTGGATTCACTGCTCCAAGCGGGAGGAGAAACTCCTTAGAAACAAATAAACAAACAGAAATATTCCATATTCTACCCCCAGCATTTGTTTTCCCATCCCAGAGTACCAGAGGGAGGCTGAGGAACCCCTTTCACACACATCACATCCCAGTTTTTGCCCGTTCTCTATCCCATGTTTTCCTCCTTACACAGATTCCAAACCCATCCCCTGGGAACCCTCTCAATGTGCTCAAGCTGCAGATGATAAGCAAACACCAAGTTGCTATAATCAATCCCTTGATGAGCTGTTTACCATGTGACATTACCAAAATATTTCTGGTTGGGAATGATGTTTATCTTCCTCTGTTTTCCAAACTCCTTCGCAGCCTGGAAAATCCAAGTCCCAGGGCTCCAGACACGGAGTTTCTTGCTCTAATCCTGTATTTTATACTGTAAAAACTGATTTACCTTCAGAAGAAGCTTGTTCCTGGTTTCTTCTCCTTCCCATGGCCTAGCACATTAAAATGTGCAATTCAGGAAGGAATGAAGAGTGGAATTATACCTGGAACTCATTACAGCCTCTGAGAAATTCAGCAGCACTGAAAATAGAATTCTAATCTCAGCATCTCAGAGGCAAAGGAATTAAGATCTTGGTCCTTCCATCATGACAGACCCTTGGACTGACCTTCATTTCAGGCACACAACTTCAGAGCAGGTCCTGAAATCCTCAGGAATCCTCCACAGAGGCAGAAAGGATGAATGATGCCCTCTGGAGAACCTTGAGAGGGGGTTCCCACCTTATCTCAGGTCCAGCTCCTTGGAGGGACGTGAGGTGGGGTCAGCTGTCCAAACATCCTCAAGCTTCTGGAGCTTAATCCTCTAGTTCCAAGGGATCTGATAACCCTGGGTTTGCCTTGGGCTGCATGGTCTAGGTCTGGGAATGCTTGGTTGGATGAGGGAATGCTGCCTGGGTAGCTCCAAAGTCAAGAAACAGTTTGTTTGTTGCTTTGTGCACCTACAAATTCTGTGGAAACCCCCCCAGAAGATACAATGTCCTGCCTGAGTGTTTTCCAGGGAGTGGAAATTAATTAAAAAACCAAACTGAAATCAGCCTTAATGTAAAAAATGTAGCCCTGTGCACATGTTGAAGATGATTATTTGAATGTGTCGATTCTAGAACGGTGTTTTTAAGGACTTTTATTGCAGGGAGTGAAGAGCCCTGGGGTAATTTGAGTTGTCAGATAAACCTTCATGTATCAAACACCAGAAAAGAGCTGAAAGGAGAGAAGACACGAGGGTATGAGGACTTGGTGGTGACAGAGGCAGGGGAGGCTCAGTGGAGAGAGAAGCTGCAGGTGCTGAAGGAACATCAGGAACGCCCGAGTTGTGATGCTTTCACCTCTTGGTGAAGCTCCCCAGGGGAAGGGGACACCCACCAGGGTGTCCTCACTTCCCAAAGGTCCCAGCCATGTCCCAGCCGGGTCCTGAGGGGTCAGGAGGCTCTTTGTGGTCACAGGAGCTCAACAACCATCACCCCAAGGTGCAGCACCCAGGGGAAGAGCAGGGGAGAGTCATGAAGTCCCCCCAGCCAAGGGACCACAGCTGGTTTGGGTGGTCTGGATCCAATCCCTGGAGACATCCCTGTGCCTGGGGTTGGGATGAGGAGTGGGCAGGACGCCCCCTCCTCCCCCAGCCTCATCCTCCTGGTATCACTGGTGCAAGGACTGCCATGTCCAGCCTGCACCAAACACCTCCAGCAGCCCCAAAATCCGGCCTTGGCTCTCTTTCCAGCTCGGTTCTGTGCCCGTGGGAATCAGCAGAACCCAAAATCCCTCATGGAACACCTCCCTGTGCAAAGGGGGCCCCGAGCCCCGTCCCTCCCAGTGCAGAGGCCCCGTTCCAGAGCCGGCTGTGGCAGCTCCATCCCCCTCGCAGCCCTGCCCGCGGCCAGGAGATGGTACTGTTGGGCTGGTCCTGCTCCTCCCGGCACCCACAGCCTCGGCTGCCCCTTCCCGAGGTCCTCTCACCTTCCCCAGCCGCGGGCAGGAAGGTGTTGCCAGCGTGGGCCTGGGGGCTCTGGCAGCACTTGGGTTTCATCCCAAACAGGTCACCCAGAGAAGCTGTGGCTGCCCCTGGATCCCTGCAAGTGTCCAAGGCCAGGTTGGA